TACAAAAAGAGATAAGTCTATAATGAATATTATTTATCTAAATACATTACTAATGATATCTATTGATGTGACATAAACCACATCACTAAAAGGAATGATATGACATATGTCATGTTATTAAAAGTAATAACATAATATGTGTCATGTCAACAATTTGACACATGTAAAAATGTCATGTCCTCAATATGGGTGGTTGTTACTCAACTAACATCTTCCATCTAATAAGGTTTGATTCACATAAAAGGTGAAACGTTTAGAGATAAAATGTTTTGAAAAACAATAGAGTATAAAGTGATCATTTATAAAAATATTGGAGGTATTTATGTCATTATACTAATAAAATATTAAAATTAAATAAAATGATATCTAACAATAAAAGATAAAAATAATTTTAAATTTAAATATTTTATTTTATACTGAAACCATATATATTAAATGAAATAAAATTATAAATAATTTAAAATATCCACTTTTAAGTGGAAATTGAAAACTCAACATTATTTTTAGAATTCATTATAAGTTTGAAATTTGCCATTATTTATTTAAATAAATAAATAAAATTTATTTATAAATTTTTTTAAAAATTAAATTTCTCTTTTTTTAAACTACTACTAATATTTAATTTTATTAAATAAAAATATAATAATATTATAAGAAGAATCTACAAAATTTAAAGTAAACTAATCACATTAGATGATTTATCTTTCAATCATAGGAATACACAAAACTTATCATTGAAGAGTAAAATATGATCCTATAAAAGAATTAAAACAATAAATTGTGTATTTTACCCATTTAATAATTCCTCAACTAATGATACTGGCCCTCGAACCCTGGACTCGTAGCTCGAGTGCTTTGAGCACAAGGCACAACAAACCAGCAAGCCTCACCCTACCTGTAAGCACTGGCGAGGTTCTCCAAGTAGTTTTCGAAATGCAGCTGGGGAAGGCTCCGAGTATTGATGGTTTCCATGTGTATTTCTACCAATAGAATTGGGATGTGGTTGGGCCGAGCGTATGTGATTTCATTCGAAGAGCATTTGAGAGTAGCGAGATCCCTACGGAAATCAATCGCTCCCTGTTGGTTCTTATTTCGAAGAATAATGCTCCTGAGAATTTCACTCATTTCTGGCCGATAAGTTTGTGCACAATGATTTTTAAAACTCCAACGAAAACTATCGTGAATAGGCTTAAGCCTTTCCTTTCGAAGTGGATTTCGGAAACTCAGACTAGTTCTGTGTCGGGTTGCTACATCACGGACAATATCATTATTTCTCATGAGGTGGTCAATTCAATGAGGTGTAAATAGGGTAACAAGGAATGGATGGCCATTAAAATTGTTCTTGAGAAAGTTTATGATCGACTGGAATGGGGTTTCATTGATGACTCTTTGGGGAACATTGGCTGCCCATAATTGCTCCGGAAACTAATTATGAACTGTGTTTCCACTGTCACAACCCAGGTTCTTTGGAATGGCGCTGTTTCGGAACCGTTTACCCCTCCCGAGGCATTCGACAATGAGACCCCTCTCTCTTTATTTATTTGTTATTTGCATGGATCGTCTTTCTCAAGCAAATTCAGAGAGCTGTATCAGAGGGTGTTTGGACGCCCATCAAGCTTTCAAGGAATAGTCTGAATCTATCTCATTTATTCTTCGCGGGTGATTTAATTTTGTTTGTCGAGGCGTCCCTTGATCAGCTTTATGTTATTCAATGGATTCTCAGAGACTTTTGTGACAGTTCTAGACATAGAGTTAGTTTGAAGAAAACAAATATTTGTTCTTCGGCTAATGTCTGCGCTCGCGTCCAATCTGATATTAGTGAGGGGTTTCAATTTACGAGAGTTGAATCGCTTGGTAAGTACTTAGGGGTTCCGTTGCTTCATAAGAGAGCCAACGCCACATTTCATTATATGATCTAGCGTATGCGAGAGAAGTTAGCTGGTTGGAGGGCCAAATCCATATCACTTGCTGGTCGGATTATCTTAGCTAAGTCAGTTTTATCCGCTCTCCCGTCGTCTTATATAACGGAGTCTTGTACGAAATGGTCTGGTTTGGAACGTAGATGATGGAACTAGGGTTAAGTTTTGTAGTGATCCCTGTCTTGGGAACTTGGGTCCTTTACGGCATCATTATATTGGGGCTTATAATCCTGTGCAAGACAATGTGTTCGTCTGTGAGCTAGTTTCACATACTGACCAATGGAAGTGGTCTTCGATTATTGATATTCTGCCGCTAAGGCGCTCTTACACCTCATCGCCATTAAGCCACCTGTTAGTAGTAGTGGTCCTGACATGATCGGTTAGGGTTGGGACCCCAAGCGAAGGTTCTCTATTAAATCGGAGTATGATGCTTGTTCGGGGGGTGATTTGGTAACAGGAGATCCTGGAAAACTATCTCTTTATATAAATGCCTTCCCCGAGTTAAATCGTTCCTTTGGTTACTCTATCATGCAGGATTCTCACAAACGAGGAACGCTCCCGTCGACATCTGACAAATGATGCAAGTTGTGGGGTGTGTGGCAACACCGTTGAATCCTTGTCTCATGTGTTTCAGACTTTCACAACAACAACAACAACAAAACCCAATTCCCATATGTATGGAGTAAGGGGGAGGTAGGGTAGTAGGCTACCCCCAACGCCAGGTTGAGAGTAGCTTCCGTGGAAGACCTCCGGCAGTCAGAAAATTAAAAATTTAGATAAAATGCAATGCATGTATAAATAAATACATAAATACATAGCTAAACAGTATTCATATGCAGTCATTAAAATCATATGTGCGTCTGTAACGGGAATTAATCTCTGCATAATAATCCCTGCGAAAGAATCTCTGCATATAGACAGAAACATAAGATCCGGCTAAATTTAAAAGAGGAAACATGAAGAGAATGATACACAGAAGTCAACGTTAGCAAGCCCAGTTCTAATCCTTCATAAATACCAATAACAGAAACGTATAAAAAGTATAAGTCATGGAAAATACTACAAAGACATTAAAAGAAGATAGAGATGATACACCCTATAGATGTGACCCACACTACTCGATTACCCTAGTCTTTAGCCTCCATATTTTCCTATCAGAGGTCATGTCTTCGGTAAGGGCTAAATCCCTCAAATCAGATCTTAAGCAGTCTTCCCACTTTCGCCTTGGTCGTCCTTTCCTTCTGGCACCGTCGACTGTAATCGACTCTACCCTCCTTACCGCATCCGACGGTAGTCGCCTAAGGACATGCCCAAACCACCGTAGTCTTCCCTCCCTCAATTTTTCTGAAACAGACACCACCCCCAAGGACATCCTAATAGCAGAGTTTATCGTCATATCCCTCAGAGTCCTACCACATGTCCATCGAAGCATTCTCATTTCTGCGGCCTCAATCCTCCTTACGTGATCCTTCTTGGTTGCCCAACATTCTGATCCATACAACAGCGCTGGTCTTATTGCCATTCTATAAAATTTTCCCTTAAGTTTTAGAGGGACCTTCTTGTCACACAGAACTCCAGTAGCGGCCCTCCACTTTAGCCATCCCGCCTTTATACGGTGTGTAACGTCATCATCTACACCCCCATCTTTATGTATCATAGACCCTAGGTACTTGAAACAATCCTTTGAGGGGAGAACGTGTCCTTCTATGCATACTTCTACATCTTCATCGTTTTGGTTCCCATTAAAGTTTGAACATAAATACTCTGTCTTTTCAATATTGATCCTTAAACCTTTTTCTTCCAAAGCAATCTTCCAGGTAGCCAGTCTACTATTCAACTCAGATTTTGTTTCAGCAACTAAGACAATGTCGTCAGCGAAAAGCATACACCATGGTACACTGTCTGGTGTCGCACAATAGATGTCGTCCATAATCAAGGCGAAGATGTAAGGGCTAAGAGCCGACCCCTGGTGGAGTCCGATTTCCACCGGGAATGCCTCGGTGTCGCCAACTGTAGTCCTGACGTAAGTAGTAGATCTACAGTACATATCACGAATCGCCCGGATATAAGCAGTTGGGATCCGTCTCGTTTCCAAAGTCTTCCAGATCGTATCGCGGGGAACACTATCATAAGCCTTCTCAAGGTCAATGAACGCCATGTGAAGATCTCTAGACTTTTCCCTATATTTCTCCATAAGCTGTCGAAGTAGATGAATCGCCTCCGTGGTAGACCTGCCTGGCATAAAGCCAAATTGGTTTTCCGAAACCCTAGTAACTTGTCTCAACCTAGCCTCTATCACCCTTTCCCATAGCTTCATGGTATGGCTGAGGAGTTTAATACCTCTGTAGTTACCACAACGTTGGGGATCTCCTTTATTTTTATAGATTGGTATCACCGTAGACTCTCTCCACTCCTCTGGCATCTTGGCAGTCTCTAAAATAATATTAAAGATGTTGTTTCAGACTTTCCCGATCACTAAAGGGATTTGGGAGGGGCTTATTGCCTTATTCACTCTCAACATTTGGAAAAGTTCCTAAGCATGAAGTTTCGAACATGAAGTTTGGAAAAGTTCCCAATCCTTGGCGAGGGCTGGGAGGAGTTATTCAGTAATATCGTCTAGGTTCTGTGGAAGCGTCAAAACCAGAACAGTTTTAACCCGTTAGCGCAGCCCAGGGATAGTGTTTTGGAGTGTAGTCGCATATTGCAGGAGGAAGCGTGGTTAGCTCTTGTTTCTCGGGTCTCAAGAACCATTTGATACGATAGACTAGCTGATCGTTCTAGAAATTGGGTACCGACAGATTCGTAATGGTTTAAGCTCAACACGGATGGATCTTGTCATTTGGATTCTAGATTAGCTGCGTGTGGGGGGTGTTATTCGAGATCATACGTGAGCTTGGGTTGTGGGTTTTTCAGAAGTTATTGGTTTCTGCTCGGCGTAGGCGGAATTATGGGGTATCTATGAAAGTGTGCGACTGGCTTGGGATATGGGTATCCGTCGCTTATTGGTGGAAACGGACTGTAAGGAGATCGTGGTTGCCCTCTCATCGGAGCTTTGGAGAGGGTTGAGAGCGTCTCGATTCATCATGTTCGAGGATTGAGGGATTGTAATTGGATCACACGGTGGACTTTTTCTCCAAGGGGAATATTATCGAGTGGTAGACTGTATGGCGAAGCTGGCTTGGACGGGACCATTTGAGATGAAGGTTTACCATGATCCACCACAGGAAGTAGGGCCAGCGTTCTATGCAGCGAAGATTTAACATGATCCACCTAAGGAAGTAGGGCGAGCATTCTATGCAGACAGATCCAGTTCTATTATGCTTTCTTTCTCTACCATTAAAAAAAAGAATTAAAACAATCAACCAAAGAATAACATTAATAACAACAAAAGATTAAGATCATCAACATAACACATTCATAAATTGATTATATCGCAATTCATGCAATCATTTATCATTATAAGAGAATCATTCTATAAAGAAATGTATTTATTTTCTAAACCATATTGGTTACTGTATTTTTTCCTTAAAGATAATTATTTAAATTTTTTTATTTTTTAGAACGAAATATATTTTGAAGTTAATAAATGAATGACTATTATTTTAAATGATTTAATAAATTTCATTTATATATAATATTTTGTAAATAGAATGAAAATAGAAACAAAAGAATTGGTTAATAACTCAAACAAGCATCAAACATCAACCAATCAAATAATTCAAACTAAAAAAAGGAACATAGCTTAGAAACAAGTTTACTTTAAATGATGGCTTCATAATTACGACCAGATAGTCTTTATCTAAATCATTTCACCTCAAAAGCTTCGCCTCAGTTTTTGCTCTGCAATATTTACTCTTAATGCTCTTCCATCCAGACTTTGCAACAATAAGAAATGCTTATAATCCAGCTGAGAAATTTCGGATACCGTATATGTTCATTTGCAATATCATCTAAAACAAAAATGTATTTCCGAGCAAATGCATTCGTCGATATACGAAAAATTACGACCGTCAAAAGATTCTAGCAAAAATTATACCAAAAACGTTGTAACATTACCTGTCCATCGAGAGCAGCAATGGCATCATTCAATTCAGTCTCCGAGGACATAGTCACAAACCCAAACCCACGCGAACGACCTGTCTCCTTGTCATAGACCACACGAGTCTCCATTACTTTATCGTGTTCACTGAAAACTTGCTCCAACCGACCATTACCAACGTACCATGGAAGGTTACCCACATAGACTCTAAAAGCTTGCCCATAAATAGGAGGAGGTCGTGCAATACGTGATCCTCTAGGAGAAGCCTTTTTTACGGTCAATTGCCTTCCGTTAAGATCCTGTTTAAAAACAGCAATGACTAAGCACAAGCACCTAATGCAAACTTCAGAGCACATTAATACACAAATAGAATAAAAATAGAGAACCCATGAGATCAGTACGTATCAAGTATCTCTTAGACGCGTACTTCTACGAAACAATCTCAATATGGCATAGAAAGAAAGTGATCAAGTTGTTCTCGTAAAGAAATGAACAAAATACAAAGCTTTTCTGTAATAAATACCTTGGATATCACAGACAAAAGCATACCAAAGACCAAAAAGGTTGCCCAAGCATTTTTCTTATTCATCGATTTCTATTTAAAGGTAAGCTAACGGAAGTTTTAGCTTAAGATCAATTTCTTCTTTTCTTTAATTAAACCCAAAATACCAATATACCATATATATAAAAGGGTCCATCATGGCTAAGTCGAACTAGTTAACTTGGTTCTTACAAGCATCTATCAGTGGCTACAAATCAACGATGAACTAACATAATTTCACACCTAATGCGGATTATATTATGAGCCTCCACTTCATGTTAATCTTTCGAATGGGATAAGTCTGGATAAAAAATATTCAAATACTTTAAAATATAAAATTACTAAAACAATTAAATTACTAAAAAATAAAATACTAAAATACAATTAAAATTTTAAAAATATATCAAAATCTCTAAAATGATAAATTATAAATAACTAAAAATAGGTAAACTACATCAGATACCACCGAACTTTAGGCGTTGTATCGTTTATACCACTTTACTTTCAAGTTTGATAATTATACCATTGAACTTTGATTTTCGTTTCAATTATACCATTGGGTCATTAAATTGTTAACGGCCAGATCAAAACGAAATCATTTTGGTGAGATGTCTACATCGACAGCCGTAGGGCACGTCGACAGTCATCATCCATGTCATTCTGTAGTTAACAATTTAATGGTTTAGTGGTATAATTGAAACAAAAATCTAAGTTCAATGCCATAAATATAAAAATGAAAGTTCAGTGGCATAAATGCTACAACACTTAAAGTTTGATGATATATGATGTAGTTTACCCTTAAAAATATTATATATATTATACATAATATATACATATAACATATAAACACAAAGACAACTTAATATATTCATATAGTTGAATTAACAAAGTCAATATGCTTTTAATTTTATATACATATAAACAATCACTAAATATGTCATACACTTTTATATCATACATATATGCGTACTAAACATGATTTCATTATTATCAAAATTTTATACAACATATTCTTACTGGATTAGTCAAGATGTACGAATCTTGTATCTAAATATATTTAGGAAATATCATAAGTTTTTCACATTAATACACACATCTAATCATATTTCAAATAATTTTTAAGCATTGCTTTATATAATAGTTAGGCCCATTTCTGAGATTTTAATGGCCCTTGGGCGAACAAAAAACTTAGGCCTCTAATTAGGGATTTAAATTAAAATTGTATTTGTGTCTTTAGCCGCATTGCGTTTATTGCTATTGCAAACATAAGGTTGATATTGAGGTCATTGTAAGTATCGTGATAGCGAATTTCATCACTGTCGTATAAACATATATCTCCCTCTCTCCCACTCTCCTTCTCTTTCCCTCTCTCCTTTCTCCCCCGCTCTCCCTCTCTCTATCTCCCCTGCCCTCTCTCCCTCCCCCTCTCTCTCATTCTCACTCTCTCCCGCTCTCTCTCCCTCTCTCTCCCTCTCTCTCCCCTACCCCTCTCTCTCTCCATCTCTCTCTCACTCTTTCTCTGCCTTTTTCTCTCTCTCCCCCTTCTCTCCCACTCCCTCCCATTCTTCTTCCCTCTCTCCCTCCCCCTCTCTCCCTCTCCCTCCCTCCCTCTCTCCCTCCCCCTCTCTCTGGAATATCCAAATCATGTTGAGTGCACTAGTGCATGTGAGCTTCCCCAATAGATCGAGTGCCATCATGATCGAATTCTTCACAAATAGCCATACCTCCATCGTGTATTTCATCATCGCTGGTTTGATATTGTACGAGTGGCTCATCATGTACCACAACATAATCGATTGTAGGTTCGTAAAATGTTACTCATGGCTAGTGTTCTAAGCTAATTGGTCCACAATTGGGAGCCATACGATCTCATAGTTAAGCTCAGTAGACAACCTCTCGTACTCGTAAATAATCTGGAGAACTTGAATCTCGTAATGAGAGATATCGAGATCCGAAATCAACATTAGAACATGCTTTCTTCTCAAGACATTGATGATCATCCAATCCATTTAAAAACATGGTTTTGGACTTGGATTGGTGATGAAAAAGACCTTGGTATTCTCTAGGTTCTAGAGAGCTTGAGGATCTTCATGCAGTTATTTATCAAAATCCTCACCATATCCATTTGAGGTGTTTCAATTGTATGCTTGAAGTCGTTAAAAGCTTCTCTATGCTTCATCTCATATGCATCCTATTATCATCTTTGTCAACCCTTTTCATCGATTAGTAAATATATATATATATATAGACTTACAATACGTTGATAACAAAGACATAATAATTTTTGAAGTTGTTCGTGCATGCTGTTAACTTTATGCGCCAAGCTCGATAGTTCCCATGCTTTGAAAGTTGATATAACGAACCTGAAATCATCAAAGGGATTAATTTCATCTTATTGAGTCATTGAATCGAGCACATAGGAAGAAATTCATGGCTCACTTATGTGTCATCCCTATGAGGTTCATAATCTGTACAACACAAGCCACGACGCTTCGAATGGTCCAGTAGGCAGTGGTCGATATGAGCTAAGGCAATGGACATCGGTGGCACCTGGCTCGAAATGTACTCGGTAGGAAGCTCGGTGAACTTGACGATGCAATTGTTACATCTATCATTGGCTTGATAGCTGTCTATCAGTAGCTATCTAAGATTGTCTTGTCTAACCTTTAATTTTTCCTCCACTTCTTTGGTCAGATCCAGACCAATTATATCTCGATTCTTTAACTCAAACCAGTTCAATGGTGTCCGACATTTCCTTTCATATAATACTTCAAAAAGGAACTATCTTAATACTCAACCGATAACTGTTGTTTTAAACGAACTCTATTAGAAACAAATATTTTCCCCATAATTCTTTGGAACCAATAACACACGCCCTTAGCATGTCTTCAAGTATCCGTCAAACTAAACTTCAAAGTCTTTAGCTTCATCTTCATTACTTATTTAATCTTTGCTAAACATTTCTTATCCTTAATTTGGAGATCTTTTATCTGATCTAACAATAAAGGCCTCAGTCTTAACTCTGCAACAAGCACACTATCATTTTCTATAAATAATTGAGCATTCAAAACTCTCAAAGCTGAGAATGTCTTTCAGCTAAGTACATCAACTACTATATTATCCTTTCCTGGATGATAATTAATAATCACATCATAGTCTTTCAGAAACTCGATCCATCTATTTTGTCTCAGATTCAATTCTTTTTGAGTTAACATATACTTCAGACTTTTATGATCTCTATATATATAACATCATTCACTATACAAATAACGGCGACCCTTTTTAAAGTAATATCATAACTACAACTCTAAGTCATGAGTCGGATAATTTCTTTTATACATCTTCAATTGTGTTGAAAACATTTTTGATATTTCGATATAACAAATTAAGTTAAATGAATTTTAAGATTTTACAAATGATTTTACAATTTTATATTCGATTCAATTAACCGAATATCAAATTATTACTCCAAGTTTTTCAAGATCAATTTTAATCCTTACTAAAAGTGTAAAATTGTGATTTGTACTTAAACTATTTTTGAAACAATTTTCACAAAGTATTTTGAACCAAAATCAAGCCTAAATTCAATTATTTAAAGTGATGCACCGATGCATCAACCATGCATCGATGCATTAGTGAATTAATTGAACATCGAATGCATTCCATGCACCGATGCATTCTCCATGCATCAATGCACTCTGAATATTTTCAAAAACATCGAATGCATTTGATGCATCGATGCACAAGCCATGCATCAATGCACTCAGGCTATTTTCAAACATCGAATACATTTCATGCATCGATGCACAAGCCATGCATCGATGCACTCATGCTATTTTCAAACATCGAATGCATTTCATGCATCGATGCACACTTGGTGCACCGATGCATCCAGTGTTCCAACGGTCAAAATATTTGAATTTTACACTGATGCACCGATGCATCCTTCATCATGCATCGATGCATGAGACGCTCCACCCAGAAAATTAATTGTTTTCACACTTAAACGGCTCTATTATCTCCACTAATTATCACCAACGTTTAGAATTGATTCAAGGGGTATTTAAACAAGTTCTGGAGCCATTGATCAACAACAAGAAACATCAAGCAACTAGAATCAAGAGAGAATCAAAGAGAAAGCATCAAACCTCAAGTTTGAGCATTTCAAGCCAATTTTTCATTCAATATTCATTTTGCTTTCAAGAACACTTTTGTACTCAATTGTATTTATCTTTGAGTGCTCTTTTCTTTGTTCTAGAATTGTGCAAACAATCTACCTTGTGAGGATTTCCTTGTAAGTTTGCAAATTTGTATTGTTCTCTTTGGGAGATAGTTTTCTCAAGAATTTGGGGTATAATTCTTGAGAGTTTGTAAGGTTACTCTTTGTCCTCAAAAGAAAGACAAATTAGTGAATTTGTGGAAAATCCTTAGTGTGGATAGCTAAGGTAGTGGACGTAGACTTTGGTTGAGAAAGTCGAACCACTCTAAATCGTTGTGCAAATCTTTTCAATTTTCTGCAAAAGCTTCCACCAAAATTTTTAGTGCCAATTCACCCCCCTCTTGGCCGATTCCGACGATCGATTAACTCAACAATTGGTATCAGAGCCTCACTCATTTGAAGGTTTAATCGCCTCTTGAGTCGATTCGGGAAGAGTTACATTGATTACAAGTCATCAATGTCCTCCGCTTCAAATTTCGACTCCGGTCTCGATTCGATGCCCGTCAACAAGCCTTCTTTCTTCAATGGGGCTAACTATG